TCGCTCTGACTGACTGACAGACTCCTGACGGACCTCACTCCAGACTTCAGACTGAACAGTATTTAGTCACCCCCGACACGAGGGCATCCTGTGGCATAAGGCCGGCTTAACGTGGGATCTCCGAGCCCGTGCACTCGGCCAAAAATATGCCCTTTGAACCCGTATAAACGGGTTCAGGGTCGGTTTACCTTCGGCGTAGCCTCATTCGGGTTCCTCCCCGCCCGAAGGCAGAGAGTTCAACCGATCAGCCAGTCAGCCGGTCGCCCGAGTTTGGACTGACCTCTCCCCTTCCTCTTGAGGTGCAGTATTTATTACGTATGGAATAGTCCATTATGTTATTATGGGTAAGGTCTCATAACAGATAATACTTAAAATTTTAACCCAAGCTTTGTTTTAACATCTAAAATGATTGTTTAAAATCTGACAATTTTTTCAAACCAAATCGGAATTTGGTTAAAAATGGTATTAAGTATCAATATGCGAATACAAAGACGAATCTGCAATGTTATTGTTCCTGATCTGGCATCTCGTAACTTAGCTTCCGTATGCTATTTTTCATAAATACTTTAATGATAATTTTCTTCCAAAAGCTTTCCCCTTTGGTGCGTAGATCTTTATGAAATTAAGCGTAATACCGGATTGGCGGAGAGGTCTCATCATATTACGGTTGAAATGGCTAAATGTAACCGGAAGTTCTCTGCTAAACTTTTCTTCTCTCGCATCTCTTGCTTATAGAAATCTCTTTCAAATTCTTATTTTCCAGTCAATGTTGATCTTCAAAGATTTAAATTCAATATCAATTGTTATCTACTATTTTATTAATTAATGTTATTTTATTGTTTTTCTTAATATCTTTTCTTTTTCTCATATTCTCTCAAATTCAGTAAAGCCTCGCGTCTTAGTGGCTTTATTATCTTGCATGATTAAGAATGATTAAAAATAAATATAGTTAGAAGCGTTCGCGTAAATATATAATGATAAGGGAGGTAAATAAATTTTTCATTGTAAATTAATGCGTGGTTACTTCCCTTTGTCATTTTAATCTTATATATAAAGTACTGTGTATGCTTGTTTGTGCGTGTCCAAACAACTCTGCTCCCACTGGCCCGATTTCAATGATTCAGAGCTCATTCAAAAGACTTAGAAAAGTTAGGCACGGATAAACGATATTCGTTGAGCTCAGATTCAGGGTTGCGAGATTATGCGAGGTTAAAAATATATATTAATATGTTATATTATGCTCATTATAATGCTTATTATCGTTGCTTTCATGGTTCATGTGGAGTAATTATTATTTTCCCTTTGTATCCAAAATTTCAGCTACTTTAAAATTTTAAGCTGGCGAAAATTTTAAGCAAAATATCGGGCGGCATTTAAGGTAGCTCCTGTGGAGGACTCTTGGTTTGACCATTATCACAATAGCTAGGGAGGAGTAGATGCAATAGGCATTAATAAACTACAGAAGAACTCAAAATTGATCGCTGCATTTAAGCATTGAATTAATGTTTAAGCTTATCTTTTAAAAGTTCAACGATAATTCTTCTGCTGCCACTTAATTTAAAGACGATTTGATGTACGTAGATCCATATTTTCCGTACAAACAATTATTTTTATTTCATGGGTGACAGAACAGTGGACAATTTATAAGATAAAGATAATATAGTGTGACGATGTGAAAATAGAAAATTAGAATTAGTTATACATTCAACATTTGAAAAGTTAGAGAAACATAACAGCTAATTTTCATGTAATCTATATGAATAAATGCAAAATTATGCTCAATTCTCCCACGAATTCTGAGTTTAAAATACTCCAGACATACTTTATACAGTGTTTACTCGTTCCCCCACGAGGACGAGATGTGACAAAAGGTCTTTTTAAAGTGGGAACCCAGGCGCGTACACAAGGGCAAGGCACAAAACTTGTCAACAGTCCCCGCAACCGTCAGTTGCAGTGGCCTCGGTGCGAACACTGATCCCTCCCGCTCGGGCAGCTGTTTCCAGGGATGGGCACCTCTAAGTATAATTTCTCAGTTGCCACTCTGTCCTTTCGTAGAGAAGCCCCTCAGTGTACTCTACCCAAAGACAGAGACGCAACTGAGAGATGATAAATAATACGTACAAATAACTTTATAGTTATTTTCCAAGCATAGCTTAGATGTGGCACAATGCCGAAAGTTGTAACTGATCTAGCGAGACAAGCTTGCTAACCATTACACCACGCCGAGGGACCCGCTAATTACTTTATAGCGATTTACACGCTAAGAGCTCAATATCTGCATTATATATTATCTACTTCTCTTCAGGTTTACCTAATTTGCATATTGATTTTTAAAAAATCATTTCATTAATTAACTGTCTTTCATTATTATTCTTTTATTGGAGCATTTCTTTGATTTTCAAATCTAAAATAATTCTCTTAAGGAATATCATCTTATGTAGTGCAGAAAAGTGTTTGAAATTTGCATTTTACGTGGCCTTCCTCAAGTTGGCATCTATTTGTAAAACTTTCTTTAACTATACCAAGCCAATTTATGAATGAAATATTCATTTAATATTTTTGTTTCAAAGTTTTCAAGCAGTGAATATATCTTTGCGAAGCGATAGCGATCGGTCGAAGCCTTCTAGTACTCTATACAAATAAAATGAAGTATGTCTGTTTGCCATTTTATTAGACAAAATTAGTTCTCGGGAAGCGTCGTATAGCTCTTCTTTAATGTAATTTTCATTTTAGGTTATTAAACCTGGCTTGGCGGCAGTTGATGTTGATGTTAAATAAAGAGAGAAAAACAAGGTGACTTTTGGGAAAAAAATACGATTTTAAAGATTCCACGGGATAAATATTTTCTGAACTTCTCCTTGCTTCCATTCTCGTCGTTGCTCAAATGTTCGGCCCATGGTATCCTTAGTATCCTTCTGTAGAATCACAATTCTGTTGCGTCATGCCTCTTCTTCTTCTTTGAGGTGATTGTCCAGCATTCACTGCCATACAGGAGGACAGATATCACATAACAGTTTAGTACTCTTTTATTTGTTTCCAAGGAAATTTTTCTGTCTCTTAATACTCTGCTTAGCTTTAGGTTGGTTGGTTATTTTGGTTGTTTTGTTTTATGGCATATCAAAACCTCAGTGGGTCATTTAATGCCAACAAAATTTTTGAAATGGATACATAGCGATAGTTTGGTAAAAAAAAAAAGGTGTGTATATATACATATATATTTGAACCAATTTTCATTTACTCATATTTTTGAGTACAATCACATGTATTGCTGGCAATTTTTTTTTTCAAAAACGTATTGCTGGTAATGGTTTTTATTTAAATTAGTTTCTGGTAATAATGTTCTTCAAAAATTTATTTTCTGGTATTAAAACCTATTTTTACAGTTTCATAATGCATTTTACCTCAGTTTCGGGGTTAACTATTTGCCCATAGCTGGGACCCTAACAGGTGCTATCACCCCGGGTCAGGGTGGACCTGGGAACACCAGCAATTTGGTGGTTCCACGCTTCTCAAAAGTTCCTTACCAGAGGCCTTGTTGTTAGACGTAGTTTATTGTCTTACTCTGGACGCGGATGTAGTTTATCGCCATACCAGGGACGCTCCATTGGGTGGGTGATCTTAGCCGTCTGCAGAGGTACAGTCAGCGTATTCTACAGCTCCAACCGACAGGGCGGTTAGCTTTACGAAAGCATCTTTGGCCATCCCAATACGTCTTCGGATCTCAGTGTCGCACTTTCCGTCCTTTGTTAGAATATTTCCTAGATATTTAAATTTCTGTACCTGCTTGATTTTCGTATTCCCGACCTGTAATTCGCATTTTGGGCTCGCCTTTTGGCTGATAACTATGCATTCTGTCTTGTAGATTATGCTTCGTCCTTTCTTCTCGCTTTCCTTCGCTACCTTCAGTAAGAGGCTTTGTAGTTTCTTTTTCGTGTCTGCCGTCATCTGTATATCATATTTTTAAAATTACGTTTTTCTGAATTACGCTTTTGCGGGGGATTTTTTATTCGTCTTTCATTGAAGATTTCAAGACGAATATTTTTTGTACAAACATCGTTCATAGCAAAGTGTAACATCGAAGTTCATGGTTAGTGGTTTTAAATCTCATTAAATGCTCAATTCTTTTTTAGGGTAACGAGATTAAGAGGATGTAAAGAAGTGCGAACTGGATCTCATAAGAGAACAGAGATTTTTAATACTGGATATTTTGCGTCGAAGAATGGTATACTGCTCCTGATAATAAATATTTATATTTTCGTTTATGCATCAGCCCTTCATAAAGCCATGGAATGTGTAATTTTTATGAGTTGTTCTCGCAACGAGAGCTGTGAAAAAACAAAAAAAAATAGCTGCAGCTTTTATTTTTATGGAGTTGTGACTGAGCTAAAAGTTTCGTTAGTAAAGCTTAGCTTTTCTCTGAAAATATGAGAGTCAGCTGGAAAAAAAAACCTTCGTTCTAAAAACACGGCAATTCGTTTTGCGCAATCTTGTAGGGGGTGACACCGCAGACGCGATAGGGAGCAAGATCTTGGTCTTGTGGTTGATGGGGTATAACTGCCTCAAGGGGACGGGGCAATCTCAACATTCCAAGTGCAAAAGGAAACTACAAATAAATGTACTACTTTGTTTTGAATGTTAACATGAACCGCAATTTTGAGATGTAGGGGAACGCAATTGAGATGGATGGGACGGCCATTGTGGGATGGAGGGGGCCGTAATTGAGATAGAGGGGAAGGCATTTGTGAGATAGAGGTGACCACAATTATGAAATGGAGGGGACTGTAACCTGAGACAGAGGGACGTCAGTTGTGAGATTCAGGGGACCGCAATTGAGATAAAGAAGACGACAATTGTTAGATGGAGGGGTCCGCAATTCAGATTTAGTGGACGGCAATTGTGAGATGGAGGGGGCCGCAATTCAGATTTAGTGGACGGCAATTGTGAGATGGAGGGGGCCGCAATTGGGATGGAGGGGACAGCAATTATGGGATGGAGGTGACCTCAACTGAGATGGGGGGGACGGCAATCATGAGATGGAGGGGGCCCGCAATTGAGATGGAGGTGACAGCAATTATGAGATGGAAGTGAGTCACAATTGAGATTGGGGGGGCAGAAATTGTGAGATGGAGGGGGCCCGCAATTGAGATGGAGGGGACTGCAACTGACATAGAGGTGACGTCAGTTGTGAGATTCACGAGACCAAAATTGAGATGGAGAGGACAACAAGTGTTAGTTGGAAGTTAGGGCTGCAATTGAAATTGAGCGGTCCGCAATAGTAATATGGAATAGGGCAAAAATTGAGATGTAGGGGACAGCAAGTGTGAGATGGAGGTGACCTCAACTGAGATGGGGGGCGGTAATCATGACATGGGGGTGCGAAATTGAGATGGAGAAGACGGCAATTATGAGATGGAGAAGGCCGCAATTGAGATGGAGGGGACGGTAACTGTGAGATGGAGGTGACCTCTACTGAGATGGTGGGGCGGCAATTATGACATGGAGGGGGCGCAATTAATATGGAGGCGACGGCAATTGTGAATTGGAGGGTACTGCAATTGAGATGTAGAAGACGCCAATTGTCAGATGGAGGGGGCCGCAATTGAGATGGTGGAGACAGCAATTGTGAGATGCCCGGGCCGTAATTGAGATTGGGGGGACGGAAATTGTGAAATGGAGGTGACCTCAATTGACATGGTGGGGACGCCAGTTGTGAGATGGAGGTGAGTGGTGCCCACAGAGGGGGAATGCGCTCAGTGATAAAGATACTGAGTCAGTTTCTAATTCTGCTTTTTCATAGTAATGTTCACGCAGTACATAATCCAAGGGCCACTCAATAACTGAATTTCATGGGGGTTATGCAGGAATGACAGCGGTTAACTCTAGCCTTGAGGCGGTCATTTCTGTAGTGATCGGAAACTCATCCTACCAGGAGTTTTTTTTCCACAACAGCAGTTCGTGGTAAGAATAGGTCCGAATTTAACTTCCTCCTTACTAATGGAATACCAAGTGTATGAGGGATAATTCACACTTGTGTAAGTGGCATTACGGGTCCAATTTGTAGAGGACACGTCTGATGGGACCAAGGAATGCAGCTCGCTAGAACACTGCCATGGAAACAGCGACAAATTAGCGATAAGCTCGTGACGTTTTGTCTATGGCGGGAAAATGATTAATCGCCCACAAGGCTGCGTAGATGCTTTTGAACAGGTAAAACAAGAACTGAGCAGCTCCAGCCCACATATGGCAACGATACTTCATTTTTGCTCTGATCTGACTCTTGTCAGGATGAAGCGGAGTAGAAGAATTTCATCAAGGCTGGAAAGTGAGAATTGGCAACTTCAGTCCAGATGTAGCAACACTAATCCATTTTTGGTCTGATCTGACTTTTGTAAGGATGAAGCGGGGTAAAAGGTCTCGATCAAGGCTGGTAATTAAAGATTGCGCAGCGCCAGCCCTAACATAGCAACAATACTCCATTTTTGGTCTAACCTGACTCTTATAAAGACAAATTATCACAGAAAAATGCTTTATTCTATCATGCTGGACAATTTCTCTCACCAAAATCTAACTTGCAACTTTATCATTCTACCACACACCCATGCATTGAATATTGCTGCCACATCTGGTATGGTGTTGCATCTATACATCTGGATAGTCTTTAAGAAATCCAAAAAAGAATCCGCAATGTTATCAGTCCAGACATGGCATCTCGGCTTCAATCTCTTTGTCTGTCATAACCTTTTTCTGCCTTTTTTATAAATATTTTCAAGGGACAGTATTTACATTAGTCGGACTATTGTCCTCATCTTTGTCGCCATATTTGTCACAACGTTTCGGCCGTTGTACGCTTCGCAGGTATCTCTCACGAGTGAGACCCCCCATAGAGAGGAACATGACTAAAGACTGTGTGTACGCTATCCCATGCAGCTGCGGAAAGGAATATAAAGGAGAGACAGGCCGCCCCCTCAAGGTAAGGCTTCAAGAACACCAGAAAGCTGTAACGCGAGGGGAAGTAGAAAAATCAGGCGTGGCTGACCACATATGGAGAGAGAAGGGAAATCACCGCCCCCTGTGGGATCATGTTGAGATCATAGATAGGGAACACCATTGGAAAATTCGTAAACTTAAGGAATCAGCACATATGCTAGGCCACAAAAATCTTCTGAGCCGACCAACCATAGAAATAAATACAATATGGGAACCAGTAATAAGGAGTGCCAGAGAAAAGTAATGATAACAAAGTTGCAATATGAACTCTGGTAAAGACATGCAATGATAACAGCAAAAATTGCAATATGAGCACTGGTAAAAATGATGCTGAAAACATTAGGTTTATAATACTCAGAAGTTCAAGGACACATGGCACAGTGGATAAAGGCGTTGGTTAGATCCAGTGACAGACCCAAAGAAGGTGAGTTCAATTCCTGGTTAAGGCAGTGGAGAACTTTCAGAGGGAAAATTAGCAGGAGATAACTGATAACTGACATCCATCAAACATGGCACGTGGAATTAGAACAGTCTACCCCAGCGATCGAAATAAAGGGTTCAGTTCGAAATTCCAACCACCTGAAGAAGGCCGGAGCGTACAACGGCCGAAACGTTGTGACAAATATGGCGACAAAGATGAGGACAATAGTCCGACTAATGTCAATACTGTACATAATACCTCATCTCAGAAATATAGACAATTTTCAAGGGAGTTGTTCTTTTTTCAACCTCGTGATTTTTATCGCAGTATTAGATTGCCAACTAGGTCTCATTATTTTTGCTGTTTAAATTGCTAAATCTAACCGTAAATTCAATCCTAACTCGATGTTCTTGCTTTCTTATTAGCTACGAGCTTCAAAATTTTAAAGGCTGAACCGTTTTTCATCTTCTGTCTACTTGAATCTTCTTTTTACTGTCCTTATACATCAGAAACGTTTTCTCATTTTCTTTCTCTGCCAGCGACCATTTGCGTCTTAGTGGCTTTCTCACATTGCTTAAGGAGAAATGATAATAATAAATACGACAATATAATGTTATTATTTTGAAGACCTGTCTATCGATCTAGTGAGCTATGTTTAGTTCTCAGTACTTCACATTTAAATATCGGTCTTTTCAGATCTATCTATCTATCTATTATGGTGAAACACACCTATTCTATAGTTAATAGACTCTCCCACCTAATATAAGTAGGAGTAGTAAGAGAAGCGAGGGTCGGTCGATGGCAGACGACAGTAGTCGACAGTTAGTCGAATACGAAAGTATCAGCGACCACAACAAGAGTACTCTGCGTAATACATATTATATCAAGTTCCTAACGTTTTGTACGTCGAACCTATTTTAGGACCTATTTATTACAAATACACGCCTCCACTGCGAAATAACTCCACAACACTATCTATCTATCTATCTATCTATCTATCTCAATATGTTCATATATATCTATCTAACTAGATAAATATCTGTCTCAATCTGTTCATATCTATCTACCTATCACAATGAGTATATGTAAGTATTTCATATCTATCTATCTATCTATCTATCTATCTATCTATCTATCTATCTATCTATCTATCTATCTTAATCTGATCATATCTATCAGGCTAGCTAGATAGGCAGCTATCTGTCTCAATCTGTTTATATCTATTTACATATCTAGCTATCACAATTTTCATATCTATCTATCTATCTATCTATCTATCTATCTATTACAGTATGTTCATATCTATTTAAGTTTAAGATCTCTCTCTCTCTCTCTCTCTCTCTATATATATATATATATATATATATATATATCTAACCCTGTTCATATTTATCAGTATAAATCAATGCATATATATATATATATATATATATATATATATATATATATATATATAGATATAGATATATAGATATATATATAGATATATATATAGATATATATCAGTCAGTTCATATGTATGCATGTATATTTCTGTATAGTGGACCTTCTTTTTGTTGTCCTTTTGCCTCAGCAAACATTTATGTCTTAGAGGCTTTCTCTCCTTGCTTGAGGTGGGGATTGATTTTAATAAATACGTGAGTATAAACGTATTTTTTGGAAGATCTAGCCATAATTTTTATTGAAAAAATATTAACAAAAAAAAAAAAAAGCTGACAGATTGAAGAATTTGACAACCAGACTAATTTTGACTGTGAAATGTACAAAAAAAAAAAAAAGACTTTCAAATCCACCTTCGAAAGGGATTCCTGCAATTTGCTCCCCATTTAATAATCTTTCAGTTTATTTAAAGATAAACTAATGATTTCTTTATCTCAAGAATACGCCTGAAACAGAAAAGGCTTCCGAAATCAAATCATCGACTAAATCCCTAAGATTAGCGAGAAGATTAGGATTAAATAAATACTGCAGGAAGTATTAGACAGAGTGTTGCATCTCCCCACCCACCAAAAAAAAAGAAAAGAAAATCCATTCAAACGTATTGTCGATTAGAGCTCTTTCTCTCAGTCCTTACATATATTAACTGCGTGAGAGAAATAATCTTTTCTACGAGAGACTTGCTTAATCGGCAAAACCAATCAGTTGAATATGTAATTAGAATTTTTTTTAATGGAAACTCCCAGAGATTTTCATTTAAAAATATAATTATTTAAAGTCAATTAATTTATTTTTACAGCAATGTCTAGGATTAAATCCGAATGAAGAAAGAAGTGATTTCAACAGACGAAGAAGATGTAAATTTGGTAATAAGTCGAAGGGAATTTATCGGAAGTGTTTCAGGATTTTACGTGGGTTTTGAATATACGAATCTATACGCCGCTGTTGCTATCTATCTATCTATCTATCTATCTATCTATCTATCTATCTGTTCATATCTATCTATCTATCTATCTATCTATCTATCTATCTATCTATCTATCTATCTATCTATCTATCTCAATCTGTTCATATCTAGAGAGATACGCATTTATCTATCTCGCAATTTGTTCATATCTCTCTATCTATCTAGATAGGCATCTCTCTGTTTCAATCTGTTCATATCTATCTATCTATCTATCTATCTATCTATCTATCTATCTATCTATCTATCTCATCTATCTCATCCTATTCTATCTATCTATCTATCTTCATCTATCTATATATATATATATATATATATATATATATATATATATATATATATCAACCTTCGAACCTATC